AAGGTCGTGGCTTGGGCAGATCGATCAAACCTGTCGTGAGGAACTAGAGATGGGCCGGGCCCCTGCCTGGCAGCTCGCCATAAGAGACCCTCGCAGGTGGAAGCGAAGGGTGGACGCGGCTATGCGCCCCTACCGGCGTTAGCTCCCCAATGATGATGATGATGGTGTGTGTGTGTGTGTGTGTGTGTGTGTGTGTGTGTGTGTGTGTGTGTGTGTGTGTGTGTGTGTGTGTGCATATATATATGTATATGTATGTATATATATATATATATATACATATATATACATCTATACATATATATATATATATATATATATATATATATGTATGTATATATGTGTGTATATATGTATATACATATAAGTATGTGTGTGTATATATGTATATACATATATGTATGTGTGTGTATATATATATATACATACATATATATATATATATATATATATATATATATATATATATATATATGTATATATATATATATATATATATATATATATATATATATATATGTATATATATATATATATATATATATATATACATATATATACATATATATACATATATATATATATATATATATATATATATATATATATATATATATATATATACATATATACATATATACATACATACACACAAGTTGTGAGTGTGAAGTGGGAACTCAGATTCAAAGTTGGTCTTACTAATCTCCCGACACCTACCCCTCCCCCCTCCCTCGCTTTACCCGAAGCAGACAAACTAATACCAAATCAACATAACATACCTACACTTCATCCATCCTCCAAATTCTCCGCTTCCATTCCCTCTATACTCAGCCTACATCAACCCTCCTCCTATTCATGTTACCCCTACACCCTTCCCTCCCATTCCCTCTAGACACATTCCATTACCCCCTGCTTCATCTGCATCACCCCCCCCCCTTCCTTATCCATTTCTCCCTTCCGATTCCCCCTTTGATAAACGTAACTATCACAACAACCCCCGACCCTAGATTCTCTCCCTTCGGACATTTCTCCTGAAACTGTGATCAAATTGCTCTTAAAACTCCTTTCTCCCTTTGTTAATACCTACGGACAATCTTGGAAATTCCCACACTTCTTTCCTTAACATCTTTAATCCCTACCTTGGACCGTTTATTCACCCCTCTTTGCTCCTTTCAATGCCAAACTATCATGAACTACTGTACTACTTTTGACGTGTGATACATGACCTTTTATATCTAGCACTTTTATTTTTTTGGTAACCAGTAATCATTCTCTCTCTCTCTCTCTCTCTCTCTCTCTCTCTCTCTCTCTCTCTCTCTCTCTCTCTCTCTCTCTCTCTCTCTCTCTCTCTCTCCCTCTCCCTCTCCCTCTCTCCCTCTCTCTCTCTATCCCTTATACTGTCGTCCTAAATCCCTCTTTCTACGCCGTAAGTCTTCATCACAGAGCCCCAAGTATCGCCTTAAGTTCGCGTCATAACTATGTCTTCTCGAGAGAACGTTAAAGAACTTCCGAGTTATAACGGAATCATAACAGTCAAGATGGCTGCTGATAGATTTCCAATAATCTTAAATAAACTTAGCAATGCAGAGCTTATTCGTACGTGCTGCACTATGAAGATATTTTGTTGTGACAGTTAGCTTCGGGAATGAATAACAATTTATGGTGCTATTTCAATAGGTAAGAAACGGAGTGGTAGGAGGCAGCCTGGATATCGTAAATTTACAAGAGTATTAAGATTTATTGGTAGTATTTGTTTGATGTCAATGCAATTACATATTATGTCATCATATTTTGATTAAACAAAATAAAAAGTACTTTTTTATAGCGCGAACAATATATAATATTAACATGTGTTCCTAGATATAAAAACTTATTTTTGTTATTTTCGTGTTTCTTTGAATTATAAAACGCACTCAGATTTACATACCTTTGGCAAATAGCAGCATTCAAGTTACTTGCTATGTTTACTACTCGCTTTGGTCTTTGACATACCTTGTGACTGATACTAATGTCATAGATGTAAGATTTGTTCCTAATTGTGCTTCAAACCTATGTAATAGTGATAATGATAATAATAATAATAATGATAATAATGATGATGATGATGATAATAATAATAATAATAATAATAATAATAATGATAATAATAATAATAATAATGATAATAATAATAATAATAATAATAATAATAATAATAATAATAATAATAATAATAATAATGATAATAATGATAATAATAATAATAACAATAATAATAATAATAATAATAATAGTGAATTAAAAAGAGACATGACGAAATCAACGTTATTGTAAGTTATTAGAGTTTAGAATCGATAATGCTATAAGACGCGATGACCTGACTAATAGTGTCTTCTAAGTCGTATTAAAGGTTAATCCAGATCTCTAGTGTGCAAGTGCAATGATAGCGTTAAGTATTAACTTTTAATAAACCTCTGGAGCAGCATTACTGTTAAGCTCAAGCGCAAAACGAGCTCGTTAATCCTTCCAATTATGTACTGATGACAATGACAATGTTATCAACTTCATATTAAAGATGGAGTTGAGTAGCCATTAATTTAGATTCTTAGTAATAACAAAACAAATTTGAACATATTCATGTTAAAGATGTATGTAAAAAAATTACCAGTATGTATTTTAATAAATTGTGGGATATTCAATCTGCAGATATAACCCTTAACAGTGAAAAAAAAATGAAAATAAAATCCCACAGAGAATCCCAGGCACGGAAAAGGCAACACTATTT